TTCAGGTTTAATTTGACTTTGACACTTTTAATTTCCCATTCTGAGCTCTTCTATACTGTTACTGCTTGGCTCTATTTGACCAGTGAACCTCGCAGACTTAGCCACGTGTGAAGGTGCTCAGCTAATGTTTGCAAAGCTCTTCGAGATTTTTAGATGAGAAATCTTATGGCTTAGTGATAGCAACTGTTAAATTTCAGTTACTTGAAAAAGAAACAAAGATGGCAGCATTTACTTACGTTCCAAGGGATGCTAAGACAGGCTTTATTTTATGTAGAAATATTGCTTGTGCACTTACTTATGTCAACTTAATGAAGTTAAATCAACACAGAACTTACTGATTGCCAGTTCCAAAGCAAGTTTGGAGGCCAATTCAAATCTGAGTCCAGCGGTGCCTGCCACTGTACTATTCCTAGGAGAGAAACAGAGATGTGAAAAGAAATAGATCCTGTCTTTGTGTGCCAAAGTTGTGAGGCTTGTACTGGCTTATTTCTCTGAACATTCAAAGAAAATGAATCTTCCTCCAATCCATTGGGAACCAAAAAGGCCCACTGTGCTGGTCTTGTGACCTTCAGACTAATGCTGACTACTCGTTATCCCGTTGCAAAGAGAAGCAGCTGGTGACAGATGCATTCCTTCCTCCCTCCAAATCCCCTAAATTTTTTTTATTCAGTGCACATTCTAGTTTTGAAGTAAGAGGATTGCCCCCTAAATGAGGGTGATAAATAGTTAAAAATATTCATGTTTCCCCCTTCCCCCATTACATACCTATACCTTTCGAACTTATCATAAAGATAGAAATAAATTGAGGAAAGATAATTCATTTTAACATTAAATATGATTTACTTCTGAAATAATGAAGCACATTGATGAGAGAATCTGGGAAAGAAAAGATAGCTCTTGGACTCTGTACAGTGTACTACTCTTTTTTAAATACTTTGGCAGTGGTTTTGTTTGTAGAGTAACATAGGCAATCATACTGTTGCTGCGTATCTCCATCCTATCCATAACCATCTAGCTGATCCCAAGTATTGTAATTGTGAAGTCCTGCAGACTGAGGAATATCATAAAGAAAGGTCAGCGCAAAGTTTTCTTAATAGGGAAAGCAGCTAGAGATTTAAAACATAATGTTTTAAAATAAAAGAAAGAGAAGAGGTCAGCTCTATAAAATTTGGCTCATAAAATGTGTTTTAGGTGTAGAAGTCTGGGAAGTTGTCCCAGTGGCCTCAAAAGTGCTTTGCAAATGTTAGTTACTTTCTTCATTCTTAGTTCTTGCATCTCTTTTCCCTTTATTTCACTTTGTCTAGAGTCTTTGATAGTAAATCCGTGTGAATTATTCATCATCTGTAATGCAAGTCTGTAATTCAGCCTGCTGACAGCATAATCGTGAAATTGAGTTGGAGGGTACTGTATGCATCTGTTATATTGCATGCATTATTCCACTTAATGTACACTCAGGGATTATCCCAAAGTAAACATTTGATTTGGGATACCTCATTCTGCAGAAAGGAAAGATGTTTCACCTCCTTGTCCCTGTAATTGGTTTTCTGTCTTTGTCTGAGGTTAAGTAAGTCATGACAAGTATCTTTCATTTTGAATAAGCTCGAATTTGTTTTTAAAGGTTTTTTTCTTGCAATTCAAAGCCTGCATAACATTATCTTTACTGTTATAAACAAAGAAAGTGATTCAACTTCTTGCTCGACTTCTGTATTTAGGAGTTTGTAGCATATATTTTTCCCCCTGTGGAGATGCTGTTTAACTGGTTTTGTTTATTATTTCACTAACAGGCAAATACCAAGATGTCTGCAGCACAGAAGGCTCTGGCCAAAGTTGATAAGAGTGGAATGAAATCCATTTCTACCTTCTTTAGCTCCAAACCTAAAGCATCAAAATAAAGACTTGTTCTTGAAAGAGTTTTATACAGTAGTTGTTTTTACGTTAAGTTAAAGACGTCTCCTGGGGTTTTTTGTTAGTATAGCGTATGCAAGGTATGTCTAGTTACATGGTGAAATGTGATGAAGAGGCAGCATGACATGGTGCTCTGGTGCCATAGTGGGGCAAGGCAGTACCATGCAGATATTCCAGCCTGGGTCGAGAAGATGCTTTAACATGGTGAGCTGAGAAGCAAAGCTTACCGTGGTAGCATACTTCTTCTAGCTCAAGGCCACCAGAGAGTTTTCTCCATCACACTTCATGCTAGGCTTGAAAACATGCCCTCCTTTGATGCATTCTTTTATTCATAGGGAGCATTATTTTTTGTGATTTTCTGAAGTTTTTTACCCAGTATTACATGAAAGGGGGATGGCATCGTTACGTTTTTATTTTGACACAAATCTAAGTGCTGATGTAATGCTGATGCATTGTCATTGGTGGCAATTTATCAAGGCAAAGATATTGTCTGTGTTGGGATTTGGGATGTTTTCAGTATGCTAGAAATGAATTGCAATAAATGTCAATGTACATGTAATGCAATAAAGTGCTTTGTGTAACAAACTTGTGCTTGTTGTATTTGCTGTATGTTTCAAGAGTTGGATTAGGTTTCAGGACATTTCTTTTGGGGTTTTGGTATTTTCCTGTTGTGTAAATTTTAATCTTTAAAGAGTTATGGCATCTCTTTTGCTTAGATGATAAATCTCTTAGCACATAGTAATATAGGGATATTTTTATGTTTAGTTCCAAGGTCAAGAGGTCCTTATGAAAATAATTAGGGAAATATTGATTTAAAGGCAAAAATGGGTGGGAGTTTTTTAAGAAGCCTATTTGGAGCTGGATTCAAAAGCTTAAATTGTGTGTGTCTTAGATAAGGTTTAGTTTTATGAAGTTTAGCACAAGGTTCGACTGTTACTTAAAATGCCCTACCCACTCTCTTCTGTGTTCTTTCCTCATTACAGAGTATTCCTGTATATTTAGAGGGATAGCTGATGTTGCAGCTTTCCTGATTCACAGAACTGAAAAAGAAATGGAGTCACTGGGATCATTTGTACAGATCTAGCCAGTTCTGCATAACACTTTGTTTCATCCACCAGTTGTTTTACTGAGTCATTACTGTGGATCAACTACATTGTGTGTTTTTGAAAGATACTCTTAAAATATGTCATTCTTTGCTCCTTCAGCTCAGTAGAATCTGTTGATATCCCTTGATAATGTGAATTTCAGAGAAACTAGGGGTTTCTCCTTTGAGTAACTTATACCATTTTTCTACTTCAGACTTACTTACTGCCTTTTACAACCCTTGGATTCCAGTGGTGAATCTTAGGTTAAAGAGCTCTGTGGCATTGTCTTCCAACCAGAAATGAATGAGAAGTCTTGCTATGTGTTTTGTAGTTTTGGGGGTTTGTATGCCTTTCAAACTGGTGGTTTTCTGAAGTTTTGGGCATAGTTTGTATATGGGGAAGTCAGTATGGTTAGAATTCCAGATAGAGGAGAATATCTGGAAAATTATCTCTGATAATAACTAGTGTGTAATAAGCCTTGAATGAACAATTGTGGCCATGAACTGGAAGGGTTAAATTTTGGAAAACTTTCAGCCTAGCCCAGCAGCTTATTTGACAGTCAAGGAAACCCCTCAACATCATTCAAAAATGCCAAATAATGAATGCTATGAGAAAAAAGAGAAAAAGAAAAAAAAAAAAAGGAAAAAAGAACAGGCACAGACTGTCATGTTAATAGAGAAGTTTTGTGCATTAAGCATGTAAGGGAGTATTTTGGTAGAAGGAGTTGTGTATCTTGTAATGGAAAGCCAATTCTGAGCAGTAGAAGATGCTGAGAAAGCAGACAAGCATGGGATAGGTGTTTGGAAAACCAAGAATGAAAGAGAGTTAAGTTAGAAACAGAAACTATGAGGTAGAACATATACATGGTAGAAGCTCTTCAGGATATTTAAATCTGCTATTTTTAGGGGTTTGGTTTTCAATAGTTCAAAGTTTTGTGAAATAAATTTTGTAAATGCTCTGACTGAACTGTTCAAGAACCTCCTAAGAAAACATCCCAGTTTCTCTGGTCAGAATTTGAGACAGAAGGAGGAAACTTCTGGTAAAGATGAGAGGCCTTTGTGCTGACTTCTGATCTGGACAACCAGTTTTTATTCTTTCTTACTCTGTGTATGACTTTCACATCTGCTGCCGCACTCAAGGACTAGGTCTAGAGTTCTTCCTCTGTGCATAGACTCATTGTGCTTTAGTGTGTCACATCTCGACTTTAGCTGTCAGCTATGCTGTAACTTACAACAACAGTGATTTTATTAGTGACCTTGCTTTTGGTTGAACAGGAATTTGTGCATGACAAAAAAAATAAGCCATTTCCAAAAACCGTTAAAGCTTTCACGTGAAAACGAAAACTCTTTTCCCTTTAGGAAAGCATGAAATACATTTAGTAACTTTGAAACTTCCTCAACATGTAGCTGTAAGAAGTTATGAAGAGTATATGGTGCCAAGTACATAAAACAATATTTCCTACCACAATGAGGATTTAAATATAGTTACTCTGCCTGGCCAGCAGTAGCAGTAGGTCATTATAAAGTGCTGCTTTGCTATTTCTTCTCGGTTAACATAGTATGAAACACTGTGCCAGCACCATTATAGAAACATGGTCTTACTTTGTTTCTTTTTCTGCGTTAACATGACATCTCTACATGTGCATGTAAATATCTGATGAGCTGTTTTTTGGGGATTAAGCAGCTCTTATATTTTCCCTTTTTTAGATTTCACATAGCAAATGGATTGATGTCAGTGGGCATGGAAAACTTCATAAAGAAATACAAGCACTGACTTAGGGATATGTAAGGGTCAAACTGTACATAATTTTCAGTCTTAAGTAATAAACTTAGTTCCATTTGTAGAAGCGGCAATTGGTGATTTCAGTGTTTTCAGTGGGAAAAGGAACATAGTCGGCAGAATTTGCATTCAGATCTGAAATGTGTAAGAATTCAGTAATGCTTGTTTTCAGGTGGATGCTTATTTGAATGGAGTAATGTTTATGACTAGGGTTTTCTCCTTCTTTTGTAGATGCCTGCAAAAAGACACACAAAGAAGAAATGAAAGGAACATAAGGAGACTCGCTAATATTGTTTTAACTTGCCATAATCTCAAAGCTGCTTTTTAAAGGGATTTTTTACGCACTTTCTGAAAATAAATGCTCAGAATTAGACATACCCTGTTCCAAGAAAAAGCAAATCTCAGCAGATTACCATTGTTAAATATGCGGTGTGTTAAACATAGACTGCTTCAGATTTTATAGCTTAGACACTATTGGTCTATCGGGCCCTTCCAGGAAAGCACTTACGAGCATGCCTAATGTTAAGCACATGAGCAGTGATCCTAAAGTCAGCAGTGTTGTTCGTATGGATAAGTGCTTTGCTGGATCAGCGCCTGAAGTCTTGTTAGGTGCTGAGCATCCTGATCCATATCCAGAAAAGCACTTACATACATCCTTATCTTGAAGTGGAAGAGCCAGTCTAATTTTTGTGCATTAGTGTTCACCGTAAAATCTCTCTTGGCACAATGACTCGTATGCTTAAAATTAAGCACCTGCCTAAGTATTTTGCAAGGTCAGACTAACAGCATCCTTGAGCAACTCTTAAATACTTGATTTTTAATGAATTCTCCTTTTTTTTTTATTTACTCATTTTTTAATATTTTAATGGGCATAATCACAAGTTTTAGAAGCTGTATAGCAAAATGTGTTGTATGCAGTTTCCTTCTTTCTTTGTCAGAATCTATCCAAATTTAGCGAAGTGGCCTTTTTGGACTAGAAGTCTGATTTTTAGATATAGAATCACCCAAAATTAAAAAAAAAAAAAAAAAATGTTAGCTCTAATTTTTTAGGACATTTACATTTTTTGAAATAACTTCATCGAGTTTGATTTACATGATTTTATCCAAAGAAGGTGTCACCTAGTCGGGTTGTGCAGACAGTCTGACTCTTAAATGCTAAAGCTTCAAGTAGACAGTGTGTTCAGAAAGGCAGATGGAGAAGCTGTATGTTTTATTTTACTTGTTTTATTCTAAGGATTGAAACCTTTAGAAATGTGTACGAAGTAACATGCACATTTTGTATTGGGAACTAAACCAAAACCTATGTAATCCTTCAGGTAAAAAGAAGATGTAATTTTAATTTTTTTTATTTATGTAAGAGACACTTTCTGTGGACTGAGCGTCAAGCAAAATGTCAACCTGGGTCTACGTAAGACATGCAGAAAATAGATGCTAATGAGAACCTTAAGTGGTCTGTGTCAGATGCAGTCTGATGTTTTTAACTTAAGTACCTGTTTATCAAACTTCCATTAATATCTAAGTCTTTACTAGAAAACTTCTTAAAATTAATAATTGACAGGATTTTGAAGATAATGACTGTGTACTTCTGTGAATTCACCAACTCCTACAGCAAATGACCAAAATGTTCTGTAAAGCATTCTAGATAAGAAGTAAATATTTTACATCCACTCTGACAAGTTCTACCTAACTTCAAGTAAAGGAGAGCTCCAAGGAGAGTTTATTATGACATTGCTGAAAACTAAGTTTTAAGACAGAGGCAATACCTTATTCAAATTTCTTTTCAACTGATTCTGATCAGCTGTATTTCAGAACATGAAAAACATTAACTTTTAACTATATAGAAATCATATATGAAAGGACAGGTAATCTGAATGCCTATTTTACAAATTTGCACTGAATTATTTTTGTTACTTGCTTGTCTGGGTAAGCAATATGCACTTTCCCTTTTCAAGGAAAAAATATTTATTTTAACATCGTTTTCTAGGCAGTATGGCAAGAATATTAAATGGGTCCAAGATGAAATTTTTATTTTTCTAGCTTACATTGAAAAATACTTGATATATGAATAAGATGATATATTTCAGTAAAATGTTCCATTTTTTGTAAGATTTTATTATTAAATCATATACAAGAAAGAAATAAATGCCTTTGAAATAATTTGTTGATTGTTACTTCATTAATAGTACAGAGAAACTAAAAGAAAAGTGCAGTGCAGTCAGGCTACTAATACTGTGAGGTTCTGCAAAGTAGTCAGTAATTCTTAGACTGAGTTGACAGAAATAATGAATCCTAAGATAAATTAGATAATTAATTTATCTTAAAAGTTCATTAAGACAGATTCAGTGAAGCAATTAGGGTAATCCTTGAGGATGTTACTGAACAGATGTTCTAAAGAAAACCCATTTCTGTGTACACACAGTTGTTGGCCTCTATACTCCAGATATTTTCATTTTCATGAATGTGGTAGTGAATCTCTGAGCAATGGTGGGATGAGAAGATTGAAGGTAAAGAGAATGATGTGATGTTAATGTAACTTTTTATGTATCACACCTTCTTTGTCATCCCGTATGTAATATGTAGATGCTCCATCACAGACTTACACAGAACTGATAGAGAATTACTTTCCATGTTTTTTTATAGCAGACAGTTAATCAAACACAAGGGAAATGCTATTCTTCTGCCAAAACATTATCCCAGTATCACCGTGATACTATACTAAGTGCTGACATGAAGCTTCAAGGCTGTTAGGAGAGTTATTGCCATTTCATTTATAAAATCCAGACAAGGGGCAAAGCAAGGTGATGGGTATTTTATTTGGCTGTCAAGTTGGTTTATTGGTATTAATGAAAACCAAACAAGAAAAGCAGTAAGGTTTGTACCATTTCATATACCCATCACTCACCAGCACTTATCTGAAGCAACAGAAGTACCAGTGCTAAGGACAAAGAACTAGGCCAGCATGTATTTAAATATGAAATAGCATTTACACTTCGTAGTTCAATGAAGTCAACTTGTAAGGTATTGCAAAGACTGAGGAAAACAGCATGTTGCTTTACATCTTTACAGAACTTCCATAGCTCAAGTGTTTTAGCTGAGCTCTCTAGTACCCTCTCTGAGCACAACTCTTGTCTTTTAGGGTCTGTCACATTGCAAACTGCCCTAACCTTTCCAAAGTTGCCTTTTAAAATGCATTGTGTACCCTGAGACAGTTGCAGAGCAAGCAGTGGTGGCTCAGGGAAAACAATGCCCCAGTGAGGTTTATCAGTTTTTTAAAAAGGAGCTAATAAAGTGAAAAGTTCTGCTTTAAATTATGCCTTTTGATTTGGGGTTATTTTCATTGTTGTGTTCACCCTTTGTCTTTTGACTCTGAGGGCCTGATTCTTTTTCAACAGATGCTAATTTGATACAGCCCCACCTGCCCTTGACTTCAGGCCAGACAAGCAAAGAGTTTCAGAACAGACACCTGCATTCATGAAAACACCCAAAATCAAAGCTCTCTGCAACCCTGCAAAGGAGTGAAGCTGGCCCTGGTTGTGAATGGAACCACCAGCTCTTTCCTCTTGAATTCCTTGTGCAGCTGACATTGCTAGAGGCTTTTCATAAACGGTTCAAACTTGATTTAGCAGGAATGAATCTAAAAAAAGATATTACATACTTTGCTGATCTTGTAATCAATCCTATGCTGGAGAAGCTGAGCAAAATGGTTACAGAGGTTGGTAGCTAGGGATAGCTCAAGCTTCCTTGAATCAAGTAATAACAGTCATTCCACCTCGTTTTAACCACCTGAAAGTTAGGTCTCTGCACAGCTTCTCTGTCATTAACAGAGAGCATCCTGAAAATATGACTTCTGTATTCCAGGAAGAATGGTCCATCTGAGCTGTAGCTTTTTTCCATGCACCGTGAGATGACCCCAGACTCTCTGTATGCCTGCACATAGAATTTGTAGATGGCTCTGTTCAGCATGACTGTGTCTCCAAGAATTTGAGACAGTCCTGTATTTGAAGAACTGCATTTAGCTTCTAGGCTAAAAAGGATAAATCAGGCTCTCAAGATCTCCTTAGCTTTCCAGAGAGTACTGTTTATCTTCTCTCTCCTCATTTTATAAACCATAATAAACTTAATTTTAAACCTGTTCTGTTGAGAATCACCCTACTGATTATATTCTGCACTATTGTCATACTGTTTTCCCTTACAGCCCACTAAAACAGTCATGGAAATTTTGCCCTATTATTCCCACCCCCTACTTCCCCCCCCAGCCTTCAAATTACTGTTCTATGTTTGAGAAGGCAACATTTGTTTGCAGTAATTTTGCAGTCCACTGTCTGGTGCCTTTAACCTTTCTATCAGCACACAAGAAGCACTGAGGAGTTGGACACTATCTGCTTTATCTGCAGGCAGTGAAGGTACGTAAGTTGATCTGGGCCTCTCCTCCCCTTTCCAGATGTATTCTTGTGACTGATTTTAAGGAGTTTTAGCCCCTTAATTTCCAGTTATTGTTTCTCAGCTGCTAACTGCCCCCTGCCCCTCTGGCTGTGATGCTGTGACTTTTTGTGTGAGGCCCGTTCAGGCTTTCAATGTGAATTAAAGCAGCAGCCAAGAGCCAGAGGGTCGTAACTGTTTAAGCTGTTAAGGCTCAACTGAAAGAATATATCCAAGTGTGCTTCAACTCTCTGTCCCTCAGCCTTCAATCAGTAAGCTGTGAGTTATGTCTCCCTACCTCGTCACAGTAAGGTGTGACAGTTACTAGCTCACAGGATTACAGTTTAAAGAAAAATACATTTAAAACTGAATCCAGTGAACTCAACCTGAACTTCCTTGAATTCCCATACGCCTTCCACAAGCAGGAATACTTCTTTGGAGACTGGAGCTGTGCAAAAGCACTGATTTGCTCCAATTTCAAGAAAAGCAATATGAGATTACCACTTGGTTCATAAGACTGTGTGAGGTGGACAACGTGGTGCAGAGTAACTGGGCCCTGACCGAGGCTTCCTAATCTTGATGTCTGGAAGTTGTTCTTTAGATGGAAGTCATGGTTGTTGGTTTAAGCTAGGCCCTGTGGAATAAACACAAACAAAAACCTTCACAGTTTTTGTGCTACTATGGTATGATTTTGCCTTTAGTAAACCCAAAATTTTAACTTCTGGCCCTCGTGGAGTTTGGTTATACTAGAAGCCTAGCAAAATAACATGTTCTGGGGTTTTATCAGGATAGTTGCTCCCAGGATAACTTACCAAATGGCAAGGTAATTGACCAGCTTGCAAGATCCATGAAATCAAGGAGAGATTCGTCATGCACATTCCTTCCAGCCAGGACAGGATTTTAACCTTTGCAAGTGCTCCACACCCAGCACATCCATAAGTATGTGCTCAGCTCCAGCTCTAAGCAGATGGAGTAGTGACAGAATTGGAGTGAGATTGAAATGAGGAAATAAGTTTAAATGTATTGGGGAAATCTAGCAGAGATAGAGACATGATCATCTCTGCTTAGCATTTGTCAGGATGCACCTGCAGAGCTGTGTCCAGTTCTGGTCCCCACAGTTCAAGAAATATGTGTACATACTGGAGAGGGTCCAAAGGAAGGCCGCAAAGATGATCAAAGGGCTGGATGACTTCATCTATGAAAAGAAAAAAAAAAAAAACTGAGGGAGCTAGGTCTTGCCTTCATGGTGAAGAGAAGTTTCAAAAAGAAGATAATTCAGGTACTCTTCCTCAGGAGTCACATGGAGAAGACAAGGGGCAACAGGTTTTAGCTTGACATAGAAAGAAATTTTTTACGTTAGGAACAGCCTCTCCAGGGATGTGGTAGAGTCCCCATCACTGGAGATTTCCAAGATGCGTTTGGGCAGGGTGCTAGATAATCTCATCCAGACTCCTTTTCCTGTGAACAGTTGGACCAGATGAGTTTTGAGATCCCTTTCAGCCTGGGCTGTTCTATAATTCTATGTAATGGATGTGCTGCCACAGAACTGCAGAAAGTGTACTATGTTCTTTTTTCTCAGCCTGTTGGTTAGAGAGTGCAGCTTTGGCAGAGATGAGACTTTCAGGGAGTATTGTTTGCTGCGTTTTTTATTTCCAAAGCACACTGTCCCTGTGAGCATATGCTGGACTTGACGAGACTGACATTTCCCTTCCAGGGCTATAGGTTAGTGACAAGCAACATGGGCCAAATGATTTCCTACAGGGATTAGAAGGTTTGGAGGTTTTTTGCCGGAAGTTAATGGGTGACAGAAAGTTCACAGGCTGCCTAGGCAGGTCATGGAGTCTTCCTCTCTGGAGACATTCATAACCCAGTAGGATGCATTCCTGTGTAACCTGCTTTAACCT